CCATATATATATATATATATATATATATATATATATATATATATATATAAAAATATATAAAATGTGATTTCCAACTTTCATCACAATAATAAACAAATTTAATAATTCTTCATTCTCCTTTAAGGTTAAACAGATATCTCTTCCTCCGTATCCTGTCCATTATCTGTAAGCAAAACTATAAAACATCTACTTTTCAATCCTTATGTCAGCAAAAATCAGGTGTGAAAGACCAGATCTACACATGAACATTTAATTAAACTGATTTATTGCTAATAAAACCCTGTGCATAAGAATCTTCTCAACTAATTGTTGACACATGCTTAGTTAGATAAGGGTCAATGGCACTCAAGGGAAGTGGGACTTAGTTATCTTATGGCTACTTAAAAGATTCTAAGGGATTTATTCTGCTAGCTCTTCTACAAAAAAAGTCCATGAAAAGTTGCTAAAACATTGCTAAATAAATAAATACCATTTTAATTTTGATCAAATAAATCAATTTTATATTTTTCCTTTTACTTGTAAAAATCTTAAATCTTTGATTCAATCAAATATTATCACATGAATTTATTTCTCTTCAATTCTTTTTTATCCCATTGCACAGGCCTCTTTTGTAGATCCAAAAGGAAAAACATTGCAAGTCATTCTCTTGGTATATCATTTATATTTCCATTTTAATTTTAAAAACTTCAGCCAGTTCCTTTTGTATATCTAGTAAATTGTCCTTATCCAAATCATTCTCTTCATCTGTATTTGTAGTTGCAGATTCTGTACTTTAGCTTATCAGATAGAATTTGTTACCCATATTTCAATCCTTCATTAACATCTTTTAGACACAACCTATCCATAGAAACAGATACCTTTAGTGATAGTGCTGATACTAAAGTTACTAACTTCCAGCTCCATTCTTCAAAAATCTCTTTTAATATTTATGGTATTATAACATTTTTGTCATTTTGAAAGTCCTAGTATTAACCGAGCCAGATATGCTTTTTTTTCCTACCACTTAAAATATTTAGTCACCACTATGGTCCAGTTTCTAAAATAATCACTCATCTTTTGTCATGACTTGCAACAAGCAGAATAGCAAGAAGTCCTTCAAGAAGTTATTTTTATAGTTAATTCCAAAATCTTATAAGTCAATATTCCAAATTTATCTTGATCTTTAATTGTTGGGGGGCAATATGTTGACTCTTTAAACTGCTTAGAGAGGACTGTAAAGCACTATAAAGTGGTATATAAGTCTAAATGCTAATGCTGTTTAATCTATTTGTACCTTTCTTAGATCAAAATCTGATTTAGCTTTTACTGCTTGTTTCATATTCCTTAAGTTCTTAGGCTTGTAATTAGTATTCAACTCTTGTTCAGAGTTGAAGATAAACTCACTCAATTAAGACTTCAAATCTGTCTTTATGAAGAACTCTAACATCTTCAAAATAGTTAATAGGCAATTTCTGGAAGTGACTAAACAGTAAAGTTTGTAAACTTAGTGTCCTTTAAAAGGCTCCACTGAGGTCTTGAGCAAAATGGCTGTTCTCACCATCTCCCAGCAGTCAAACTCATGGAAAAAAGTAACAGCCATCCAGAGCACATATGGGTGATCTTCTGTCTTCTTATCCAGAGAAGTTGCCAGGAACCAGTCTACTCACAAGTTCCTTGATTTTTGCCACCGTCATTGGCTCTGCTTTTGCAGAGCAATCCATCAATTCACCATTCTTCCCACCAAAAGTAAAAACAAATTGTGAGGTGACATGATTGTTGACTGATTGTTGATAGATAATCACTTTTCTTCAACTGATTGATAGAATTGATTGATTGATGATAGATAATCACTTTTCTTCAACAAGGCTATGAGGATCTCTCTTGACTCTCCATAAGAAAATTAATGTAGGCTAGGATGAACTTTTAGAGCTCTTGGTTTTCCTTAAAAAATATGGAAATTATTACTTTCGTGGTATATGAAATGAAAAGTGCTTGCTATTCGGATGAATGTGTCCAGCTTGTATGTCTAATTGGGAGCAGGGATGATTTAAACAGTCACATTTCATTTTTTTTCCGCCCTCTCTTTTTCTGTATTTTTAATTATCTTGCCTGATGCGGTGTTCTTGGGGATTTGAGAGCTTGCATACTAGTTTATAAATCTGTTCTAATAAATGTACTGCTGTAATATAGATTGGATAAGCTCTCCTTTCCCAAGTTTTTTTTAAATAACTTGAATAGTCCAGTCTTGGTCGAAATGATTGGAAAACCATTTCTGATTTTTAAACCAGTGTGCATTGATGGATGAAAATAAATAACATGTTTAAAATTGCTAGTGTCCTACCAGTAGTCCTTGACTTACAATTACAATTGAGACCACAATTTCTGTTGCTAAGACAAGTGAGTTTTAGTTCACTTGACAATCTTTCCAGCCACATTTGTTGTTGAATGAATCCCTGCAATTGTTAAGTTAGTAACATGGTTGCTAACCATGAATTGAATTTGGCTTCCCCATTGACTTCGCTTATCAGAAGGTTGCAAACCTGACCCTGGGACAGTGCAACCATCATAAATATGAGCCAGTTGCCAAGCATCTGAACTTTGGTTACATAGAGATGTACGGTGGTCATAAGTATGGAAAGGATCATAAGTCCCTTTTTTCAGTGCCATTATAATTTCAGTCACGAAACAAATGGATGTAAGTTGAGGACTACCTGTAATTAAAGGAGCTACTCTTCAACAGAGAACATTTTATCTTTCATATTTCTGGCAATAGGATCAACAGCAGTATTTTTCCATTCTAGGTGTCTGTGAAGTCAACCATAGACTTTTAAGTTGATGACTTTGCCTCCAAACTCTAGTTTTGCTGCAAACAAAATGGGCAATACAATGCATTTTACGAGGACGAACCATTAATACCAAAATGCATCTTTTTTTGTATTTGTATGTTTATGCCCAGAGAAACAGAGTACCATTCTCCCAAGATTTCTGAATCCTTTGGAGGAGTTATTTTTTGAGAATATGAAAACCTTGCTTTCTGTACCTCCTACAGAAGGAAAGTTAGGAGGAAGCAAGGAGTCTGCCAACATCTGCTACTTACTCAGAACTGCAGGTTGGAAAGTGGAGGCAAAAGTGTTAGGCAACAAACCTTATCCTCCATTCAAAAACCTGACAAATATAAATCTGGGCATTGGCTTCTTTTCTAATTTGTTTTTGTTTTCTAGTGTTTGTGTTACTCCATTTGAACTATCTTGAACTGCCTTCTGATCATGTTCTTTGAAAATATGTTTGCAAATAATTCAACCACTCTAATAGCAAGAAAGCTTTGATTATGCAAAATCTGTTGATTGTACCTTAATCCTTTGCATGATTTTCATTTGGGTAGGCTCCAATTGACTTTTAAGGACCTTCCACCTCCTCTAATCCAGTCTTCTCAAGATACTCATCCAGATGTCCTCGAGCAGGGGTGTCAAACTCATGTCGTCACGGCATCATCACATGACATATCATGACTTTTCCCCCCTTCACTAAATCGGTTGTGGATGTGGCCAGCACATGACGCATCCAGTCCACAGGCTGCGAGTTTGACAGCCCTGTCCTAGAGGATCCAAGGAAAAGTATTCTTACAATTCTCTGGATTTTTCTTTCTCTTTACAGAGTTTTGTCTGACAGACATATTTGTGAGTAGGTAGTCTTTAACTTATGACCAATTGTGCTCAAAATTTTGGTTGCTAAGCAAGACAATTGATAAGTGAGTTTTGTCTCATTTTAATGACTTTCCTTGTTAAGAGTTCTTAAAATACTAACATGGCTGTAAAGTGAACCTGGCTTCCCCATTGGCTTGTCAAACTCATAAAAGATGATTACATGACTCCGGGACACTATAACCATCATAAACATGAGCCAGTTGCCAAACATCACATGGGGATGCTGTAATGGTCCTAAGCATGAAAAATGGTCATAAATTTCATTTTTCAGTGTCATATTTCAAAGTGGTCACAAAACAAAAGGCTGTAATTATACTTCTATTCTTAAATGCTAAAAGTTGGACCTCAACCATTACTGCCTGTGGAAAGGTTTATCTCAACACTTTGTTTTATGCCTCTTGTAGAGAAGTATCCTTTTTGGAATGGTTCAATGGTTAAAGACACTGAGCTTGTCAATTAGAAGGCTAACAGCCTAGTTTTGAGACCCAAGCGCTGCATAACAGGATGACCCCCCTTTCCTACCCTAGCTCCTGCCTATCTAGCAATTTGAAAGCATGCAAATGCAAGTAGATTAATAGGTACCACTTTGGTGGGAAGGTAGTGGCATTCCATGTGCCTTTGACATATATCCATGCTGACCATATGACCATGGAAAATATTTTTGGACAACACTGAGTCCTTCATCCAAGAAATGGAAATGAACATTGAACCCTAGAGTGGACAGGGGAACTTTTACCTTAAATGTTTATGTGGATTTCGTCAAGTTCAAGGTATATGTTTTAAGCTATAGATGTCCTTTTTCTTCTTCTTTAATGCTAATATTGTGGTGTCATCACAATAAGCTTCTTCTTACATCAGGAAGAGTGCTTATCACCCTGGAAGTAATTGACTACACGTTTTTGCAGGGAGGTTCTTCCCAAGGCACACATGCACATTCAGCCATTAATGGTATAAATACACCAATGGAAACTCACTCCTGGAGCTCTGCTACTGAGACTGTCTGTATGGAGGCCTCCATGAAGAAATTATTTATTTGTGTGTTTGTTGAAGAAATACCACTTGTCATTGAACTGGCTATATATTATGTCTCTGAAATAATTCAGACCATCAGCTAGATTTAACAGCCATTTCATTGTGAAAACAGTACTCAACAGATTTCCCACCGTGAATAAAACTCAAATACTGCTCTGCTCTGGGCAGAGATTGTACTCCTAAATTATACAGAATTTTGGCATTCGTAACATGGGCAAGTAGTTGTATGGGTATTGGTTCCTTTTCTACATAAATGATTTTATCCCTGAAGTACTAATAGTGAAAATGGGTGTTAAGTTCAAAAGCTAATGGAATACATGATTCTGGAAGTAATGATATCAAATATAAATAGGATGTCATTTCCCCCATCATATACCAGATAATGTTGGATTTGATCAGCTTGAAATGACAAATAGGGAAAATGTCATTAAAAGGGTGGTCCAATACATTATTGTGTAGATATTCCTCAATTGTCTATAGAATTATGTTCTGGCTGGGTAGGGTAAAATCTTGATTATGGCTGGGTGAAAGCATAGACAACATTTCCTGAAGAGGAAGCTGAGTCAGCAGAAGAATTAATTTTTCCTCTAGATTTAGTAGATTCAATGGATTTAAACAACACAGCATGTTCAGAGAAAGGCAACATAAAATAATCATCTTCATAGCGCATATGAAAATAGTATTCAGATAAAGGTTAAAGTGAAAACAAAACAGAGCTGTATCTAAACTGAGTGGATTGACTCATTGCAGATTAATCTTTATTGTGCTGAATAACAGCTGTTGCCACAGCAAGCCGCAACACAAGGCTGAAGTCAAAACAGGGTTAGGTCTGGTTCGCATTTAGATGGGAAACCAGAAGAAAATTGCAGCTGGACATTAGGCTGGGTAGTAAAATAATATCCAAGACCAAATTGGTTATATATGAGTTGTTCATAGACTATAATCACCAGAAAGATGACTGGCTGACTTTGGGCCAATCCCTCTCTTTCAGGCAACCTACCTCACAGGGTGGTTGTTGTGGGGAAAACAGAAGAAGAGAGGATTGTGTATGTTGCTGTCTTGAGTTATTTATAAAGTAATAATAAAAGGATATAAATAAATAATTGCATTTGATTTCAGTATGATAAAGCTTTTAACTTTTATCTTTAGAATTCATTAACCCATTTAATCTGTGGCTTTTCAGCTCCTAAACTTAGTGTTAATTGGGTTAGAGTGCAGATTGGTCTCCTCTGCTACCTAAATCATGGAAGCTTTTTAAAATTCTCTTTATTTTGATGCTATTCTTATCTTAACTGGATGAAATTTATTTTATCCTGATTTGCAATACCCTTTCAGTTTGAACTGCCTTTCCTTTTTATCGCCTATTGCAATTTTTCATTTTATTTCCATCTCACATTCAAAAGGCATGCTTTCAGAATAAATGTCAATTGTTCACATAAAACTGCAACTCCATATTTTAAAACATCTTTTTTTTACTGCCTTTACTGTAGTATTTTAGAAAAAATAATAATCCTTCTAAAAATGACATGCAAAATCATGGCTCATGACTCTCTGCCATATAAAGCTGCATTTTTCAAGCCATTTGTGTTGGTCTCGTGACATTTGGCACTCACTGTTTGTTTACTAAAATGCATTTGCCTTTAGCGATGTGATCGTAGTTGAGCGAATTCAGCCCTACAGGACAGCTCACAAATGACTGGAGCCTGAGAAACAGAGATGCTTGGTTGTGTCTACTGGAGTCCTCCAGTTCTCCTTCTTTAGGGTGATATGTATCACTATATGCACCATTATCGAAAATGCCTTTATTTATGCGAGGTAATGAGATTTTATTGTGAGTTTTATGATACATCACTCGTTAACCAGAGGTAATGTTGAAAACAGCATAGTCTGTAATGTTTGATGGAGCTTTATAAGCTGGGTTTTTTTTTTCATAAGTGCCTTGAAAGCTGTGTATTTATTTTATGAAGCATTCTGATCCTTGGTGAAAATTGTATTATTCCATTTATGTTGTCAGTTAAGCGCTGTATTATCATCATTGTTTTGGTATAAGGAGACATTAGCATCTTCGTATTCCTTGCTTCCAATGAGATAATATAAAATCAATCTTTTTTTTTTTTTTTGATGTGGACAGAAATGTGAAAAGCCCAAAGTCTATGAAACTGGAAGCTTCTTTTGAAAACAGCATTTATAAACACCACATATGCAATGGATTCCTTATCAGAACTATCTGAAATTTATAGGCATAATATGAAAGGCTTTTTTTTTCTTTTTAGAAGAAAAGTGGAATTCCACCACCCATGAAATTTCCACCACCGTACAAAGCAGTAAGAACGTGCAGCTCGGATGATCCAGAAGAGGAAGAGGATGAAGAGGAAGAAAATGTTTTTACAGAGGGTAAATTATAAATTATTATTCAACCTGTTGGATTGCTACATTCAGAGTTGTTCTTTGGGGCTCTTACCTAAGGAAAAGTTGCTTGTGATCACCATATTTATACAATTGCATTTTTTGTCAGAATATTAGAATTTTGAATTCCGATGAGAAAGAATGCTGGAAAAGGCTTAAGAAATAAGAGGAAGTACCTCTTCCTACATAGTCCCTTGTTAAACTACCAAAAGATCTAGAGAATTATTACAATTGAATGGGGAAAAGTTCCTTAATGCCATAATATTCTAGACTCTTTCTTCAGGAAGTGTGGACAAAATTTAGTTAAGATAGAGATCATGAATATGCCATTTCTCAGTAAACTGTTTAACTATGCATAACCAGTGTTGAGGGTAAGTAGTTCTGGAACTACCAAGGTTCTTGAACCATAATCTTTTTTTACATGTGAATCATTTTGAAATTTCATGTTGTATTTTATATATTATGTAAAATATGTTATATATAACATTTATATATTCCATATGAATATGTAAATAAAATATTTCTATAATGTATTTATGAGGTTAATAGTTTCTCCAACTCATGTGATCACTATTTTTAAACCACCACCACCCAGTTAGCTTAAGTCAATGGAGAAACCAGATCCACTTAACAACCATGTTATTAACCGGACAACTGTGGCAAGAAAGTCAGTAAAATGGAACAAAATTCACTTTACAACTGTCTTGCGTAGCAATAGAAATTTTTGGACTTACTTGTGGTTGTAAGTTGAGGACTATGTGTACATAACAGAATAAGTTGGAAGGACCTTAGAGAGCTTCTACTCCAACTCGCTGCTCCAGCAGAAGGCTCTACACCACTTCAGACAAATGTTTGTCAAATCTCTTCTTAACAACCTCCAGAACAGAACATCCACAACTTCTGAAAGCAAGCATTCCACTGATTGATTTTTCTAAATGTCAGGAAATTTCTTCTTATTTTTAGGTTGATTCCCTCCTTGAGTAGTTTGCATCTTCTTACATAGTCCTTTTTTAAGCTACCAAAAGATCTGAAGAAAATTACCAATCTGAATAGCTTTAAAAGGAATTAAATTACTTAACTTTCTAAACTCTTTTTCTTGGAGAAATCCTTGAAATAATTATCAGATCTCAGATCCTTGCCTTAAAAAATTTCCCAAAAATATGAAAATTTCACAATACAGTTTCTGTCTACACAATCAGAATTTTATAACATTTGCAACAATGGCAATGTGGGTGCTTGGAACTAAGTTGTGGCACATAATAATTACTATCAATGCAAAACTAAATATTGCTTTTTAAACTTTGGGCATCATGGCATTGTGTGGTGCACAAAGTTTAAAAAGTGGTGTTTCTCTCTTGGTTTATTGGTTACAATTTCTCATGGAACCCCTAGCAATCTCTTTGAGAGTCCTTGTGTAATTGAGAAGGCTGGTTATTGAGGATTAAACTGCAGTAGCTAGTAATAGTTGTATAATATTTCCAGTATCAAAAAACAGCATGTCTGTAATAGAAGAGAATATTTGTAGGTCAGGGTAAACTATGGAGTTTTTGGTGCTTGAGCTTTGTTGTTTTCTTGCAGACATTTCATTACCCAACTAGGTAACATCATTGATCATATTACTATCTGGATAGTGAAACATCTGCAAGAAAACAGTGTTCAGAGAGTATCAAAGACCCCCAAGCATGTCTCTGAATATCACTTGCTTGTGTGTATTAGAGAGGAGTGACTCTGTTTGCTTTTAAGTAAAGTTATTTAAGGCACATGTTTACTCTTCATAGTTTATGAATCAGTTTGCAAAATGAACAGTTGAAGTCACAAAACAGTGAATCTATTTCTGTTTGCCTTTTTCCTTAATTTTCTGCCCAATTTTAATCTAAAGTTTCTATTACACAATTAAAACAACAGATTCATTTCAGGAAAAATGCAAGCCAAATTAATTGGCAATACCAGCAAAAAGAGTTGTGTGGTTTCTTATTGATCACAATGGGAATGTAACATTGGCTTTTAGTCTGATCCAGCATGGTTCTAAAGTTAAAATGCTGCCTTTCCAATAGATGTCACTGCAGTCATTAACAATGGTGTTAGATTTTCTTACTGTATCAGAAAACATTTCGATCCACCAAACAAAATGACAATCAAGGAGCTTTTAATTGGGATGCTATAACACGTCCTTTAATGTTTTTGAATCTTGTTCTGAAATTAGCTTTCCTACATGATATTTCTTAAAAGATAATGGATTGTTGCTATACATTATCATGCATATCTGGGTACAGATTTCCTCCTTTGTACAGATTTTAAACCTATTGGTTCAGTACTCAAATACTGAAAATGCATTTGAGTGTAAGAAATGTGAGTGTAATAATGTCTGAGAATGATTGTAACCCGTAATTTTTCATTGGCTCTGCCATTGCATTGAACAGATGTTGCAGATGTGGCTTTCTGCAGGCATATTACAAAAGATGTGCTTTCTAAATGGAAAGAATGTTAAGTTTAGTGAGTAAATATTGACGATTGATTCATGCCAACTTCCTACTCAGCATTCTTGTGATTTTTATTTAATTGCTATATAAAATAAATAATTTTAAATATTTCCTTACTGTTTACTGAAGAGGCATTAAATGGATTAGCATCTGGTTGGCAATGATAAGGATTTAAAGCAGACAGTTTCCCTGAAGATATAAACATAATCCCACGCTGCAGCTCTGATCAAGGGAAAGGTAAAATATAATACTTAGTCAGCTCTGCTGGGCTGGCAAGCACTCTCTGATTATTAGAATCAGAAACAGGCATTTATACATATGTGTGTGTGTGTGTGTGTGTGCACCTGAGTGGATGTTGCAAACCATTTATCTGCAATTAAGAGTGGGTCATTAAGAATCAAATCAGCTGGGCTCTCAATCAAGAAAAAGGGCAGTGTTGTTTCAAAATGATTTCTGTTTCAGAAGGGGGATGCTAGTTGAATCGTAGTGATTTCCAGCAATGCAACAACAATACAGCAGCAGTAGCAACAGCACTGGAGCCTCGGTGGGTCAGAGATGGGAGACCAGCAATTTCTCTAGTTGTGCTTGCAGGCTTGCTGAGGGATGTAACTCTTTGCTTGTGGGCAAGATTGAAATTAATTGCGATCGGTCACATATCATAGTGGAAAGAAAACTGACAGATTGCCCTTAAGGCAAGGGAAATCTCTCAAGCAGGCCCAAGGTCGTCAGAAGAAAGACAAAGCTCCGATTCTCTCTGTGTGTTGTGTGGTGAGGATTGGAGCTGCTCACAGCATTTGAATGTTTGTGCGGAATGCAGATACCTACAATTGTGTTCTAATGCAGCAATGGTGCTAGGGGGTTTCCCAGGTATGTATTAAAGCATCCACGAATGCATTCTACTTTTTTTTTTTTTTAACATTGCCTGCTTTCAGCATCTAATGATGAGTGAAAACGAAACACGAACTGGATGTGGCATTCTTTCTCCTGTTTGAGTTATTTGCATGTCGGAAGAGTTGCTGGTTAGGTGAATTCTGCTTTTAAGAAGACACCAGCTAAGTTTAAGTTGGAAACCGTTAATGGAATGTACTGAACGGCTGTGAAGCTGATAGCATCAGTTAATTGTTGCGTTTGCTTAAAATAATATAACTTAATTATTCTTAACGTTATTGGAATGGAATGCAGAAACAGATGTGGTTGCCTTACACTACGTCTCGGAAGGCAATAGGGAAATGTTTAGCATGTGATAAGAAGCTGCTGTTGAAATTTTGTTCAGCATTTTTATTCTGTAGGGGTAGCAGAATGTAAGTGTCAAAGGAAAACATGCTCTTCTTCACAAAGAGTGATAATAATGTTACTGTATTGCTTGCTTGCTCTGAACTGGGATAGAAAATCTGAATGTAAATCAAGTATTGGGGGAAAATTGTGTCTGCATGTATACATACATAGAACACCAGTTCTGAACTGCAATAGTCCAGATGACCAACAGTTGACAGCAAAGAATTACAGTTTTTAATATTTCTTTGCTGCCTTCTGGTTTTTTGCTTTTTGATATCCTAATCCAAGTGCACTCATACGTACATACATCAGGAATATGAATCCGGTGAAAATCTTTAATTATTGATGACAGTGATTGTTTACTTGCACCTTTATACTTTACATTCTGAGTTAGAAATGTAAAACTTTATAAGGCTCTAGACAAGTAGGGAATTGGGGCAAAGGATTTTTTAGTGAGCCTACCACTTTATAATGGAAGAAAATTTAATGTCATTTCAGAAACTCATAGTATGATATAACAGATTGTGAGATAGTGTGTGTGAGCATATGTCATATTTGGGAAGGGGTTTATATTATATAACAATATTGTTATAATACAAATCTGACTTCCATTACTACATGCCATAGGTTGTTTTTAAATTGATGTTTAACACCCAAATAATGCCTTTAGAAATAATATTATCAAACTGAAAATAGAATACAGTAATACCAGGCTCTAATTAACAGTTGTATTCTAATAAGAATACCCACCATGCTGTTTACTTAAATTCTATGACTATAATTCACTGTCATCTTTTCTCTGTTGAAGAATATGATCAGTAAGTGTAGAAATTAGTAATCTGCTTTTTTTAATCTCAAAGCATTGTTAATACCACCAGAAATTAGCACCACCCAATGCCACCACCACTGCAAAAGAAGGAAATGTACTGTCCCCTTCCAATATCATTTTAGATTTATGATTCAAATATAAATACATATTTGAAATGCAATGGGGAAAGAAGCTTAAAGCTAGTGGGAAAGTGTCAGTTGCAGAAAGGGTTCAATATTTGTTCAAAGTTGCTGATAACCATAGAAACTTTATTGAATGGCACCAAAATTGGGAAGGTGTTGCTACCTAGAGGGAAGAGCTTAGAATGAAGTAGTTGCAACATTATCACATAGAGATTTATTCAAGTATGTTTTTCTGGGACACTTTTTTTTTCTACAGCCCTGAAGCCATCTTTCTTTTGCCAG